TTATTTTTGTTAGAACTTAAGAGAAATGTTAAACTGTCATCATTAATGTTCAGGAGATATTGCCTCAAAGAAGAGCTCACACGCATTGTTTTGCTGATGCTGTCAATTATTTTAAAGACTATTTATTGCCTTCCATACCAATGAGTTTTGCTGTTAACGAAACAGCAGCTGAAGACATAAATGTCAATGCAAATGAAGAAATAATAAGAACTATAGGCTTTATTTTGCTTACATATGGCTATGTCGTTGCCGGTATACTTCTTACATCGGTCAATATCCCCGTTTTTCTACTTGTGGTGACGCGTAAAGCACTCAGGTCAACCGATTTCTGATTTATCATATAAAGATATTATAAAAATGAGCCTTGATTATAATGAAATCAGGCAAAAACGGCTCTAGAATAATACAGAGTAAACCAACATATATACAAATAAACCATTTCAGATACCCCTATTTGGTTCTCGCGGTTGTTTTCTTTAACAATGGATTGACCGGAATTTGTGCGATATTAATTGGAACAAAGCGAATAATCGACATTGCTGATGGAGAAAAGCTTATCGATAACCACGAATGTGTGCTGAATGTTTGTTTATTTTCCGGAAACATTCCTACAAATTATTCGTCTTTTTTGATTAGTATCAAGTTTATATGATAACTAAAATAACGATTGGGATATTATTACAACAAATATAATTTCAGAAACAAAAATGAATGATATTTCAGGTGTATACTTTTCTTTTGACATTATTTTTTCTGAATGGTTGGAGCTTATTGGTACACAGCTTAGAAAGGTTTTGTGTTGTAACATTCCCAATATATTATTATAAGAAAAGCACACGAATAAGTCACGCATTGATTGCCGCACAATATATAATTACTATCATTGTGATAACTTCTACAGTCATTGCAAGTTTAATTGAACCACCACGGCGCATATCTAATTTTTGCATGTAAGTAACGACGATGAAGAAATTTGTCTATTTAAAAAAATGGATTTATTGTCAACTGCATCTTTTGCCATTTAACTACTTAAATAGTCTGTGTCGAAATCGGTTCATTGTATTATCAAATTATTTCCTGACTTTTAAAATCAACGAAAATATAAATTTTGCAGGCTGCTAAACTCTTATTCACCTCTATTTTTTAAAGCAATAATACTTCTAACTTCCCTTGCTTCAATGCTGAGTATTATCGTCATGGTTATTGTTGTTATCATCCTGAGAAAGTATGATTTTGAGAAATTTGTATTATAAATTATATCATTTAGTGATACGGATAATTGACACATGCTACGTTATACATCCCTTTACTTCTTAAGCATTATTCAGTGTTCCATTTCGGATAAGAATTTAATAAACAACTTAATAATGAAACTACGGAACAGTACCATAGATCGAAAGCAATCCGACCATTTACCAACAACAAAGTTAAATTCAGAAATTACTGAAGTTTTAATTATATTACTATTATTCTCAGGAATTTTGGTGCGCAGTTTTTTACAAAGCATTCACATAACCGCGATTTGTCACATTTCCTCGGTAATCAAAAGCGATACACTCACACATCACTGATATCTTGTTGTTTTACATTTTGTATGTTTTTCACACTCTGATTTCCATAACGGGTTCTGATAAAAGCTAATTTATTCTGTGATATTCGATATTTAGAATATTTGTTGATTACTTTTGACCAATAGCAATAGGAAAGATTATGATTAAAGCTTTTTCATATCTAGCAATGAATTTTACGAATAATTTCCAGTTTCCGTTTATTTGATCTATTATTCTTATTTTTACAGTTTTTGTGGTGGCACCATCAGCACTGGAATATATTTATATAATGGATTCTTCTATAATGTCGAAAATCACTGTGCTGTGTTGGGCGTATTTTCCCATATTGAATTCCTTCAATATGGTAATGCTGTTTTTGTATCGTCAAAGGGATTTTCAGCGTGCCGCAATTCGATGTTTCAAATATTTACTTTGTCAACGGAAACAAATAGTCCATCCAATCGTAGTTGTTGGGTTTGAAAGATGAATAAATCATGCCATTTTTCTAATTAATTAATTTTCAATAATAACTTTGCATGTTTAAGTACTTTACTACTATTTAACAAAGATTATTTTGAAAAATCTTGAGAACAGATTTTCTGAATTTCGAGTAGTATATTCCATTAAATTTTTTTTCCAATTAATAGTAAGTTTTCAACCGTGACAATGGAATAATGAAACGATGACTGAAAACATATATGCTTTATTGCGTGGATGATATGTGCATAGCCAAAAGTGATAACTTATGCATAGCCAAAAGTGATAACTTATGCATAGCCAAAAGTGGTAACTTGTGCATAGCCAAAAGTGATAACTTGTGCATAGCCAAAAGTGGTAACTAGAGGTACAAAATTGGTAGAAACTGAGCCGTAACTAAAGTAAGTGAAATGAATAAACTTCAGGTTTTATTTTTCTTATTTTCTGAAAGTAGTCGTAAATACCTTCCGGAACTGTCCATCAAATAGATAAGAATAATTTGTGAGGTTAAAGAGAAATGTACGAAACTGCACATCAATTTAAATCAATATTTATAGCTTTCCCAAATTTCTGAAAGCATTCACAAAATCATTTAATTCTCTTTTGCTGATAATTTGAATCAAGCTATTCAAGTAGAAATGTCTATCCAGTGAGATATCATTATGAAAACTCGTGCCAAACAAATTGCGAAAGAAAGAATAAGGTAAGAAAGATCCCCAGAATGCAAAAGCAGAAATTTGATGCAAAGCTAATCTGAAGTCCTCTCTAAGAGAATTAATTGGAATTTTCTAAGAGAATTAATTGCTTACAAAAGAAGTCAGTCGGTCTTTGATTTCTTAGAATATTATTCAATTAACCGATGTGTGGTTTACATGATAATTTCTTCTCTAAGATATTCCAACTGATCGTTGAATGACTTTGAGAGAAACAGAAAACATTGTTGTCAAATAATGAATTCAAAAAATCCCAACTCCACATAATGATAGGATCAGTTGTCGCTGAATAAATAGGATTTGAAAGTTACAAATTCGAATAATATAACATTCGTGTGATATTCTTAATCATATTAACAGATCAATATGCATATAAATTTTACAAGTTAACAGTTGAATCAAAAACAACAAAGGACTACGATCTGAATCATCGATGCAAAGCAGAATCAATCGTGAGTGAGAAGTATATTGCTTGAGAGCATACTATCTTATCGGGATAAAACAAAGTAATGATTGATAATGAAGGACTTAAATAAACGATATCTTACTCGTTGGTTAGGTTCGCAAAACCTTAATTTGCCTTTATCAGTCACTAAAATCATATCAAATGATATTTTAATTACATTTATTTTATCTTATAATTTTTTACAACATTTCTTATAAAAGCATAACGTTCAAAATGTGTGAAAGTGAAAGAGTATGAAAATGATAATTTCAACTCTTTTATATGTTTTGATTTCATTTGAATTATTGAATCGTCACTGTTTTGCACGCATTAAAGTTTACCGTAATTTCAACGAAAGAAAGATTATTGTGTAATGTTTGTTGCAAATTGAAAAGGATTTCTTATTTTTATTTTTGAATCTATTTTTACTAATCTATTTTTACCTCTTTTATTTAATCTATTTTAAATCTATTTTATTCCTTATTATATTAATCTATTTTTACTTCTTTCCTTCTGATTGTATTAGTAAAAATAGAAATAATTAATAAGCTCAAATACGTCATTACTCAATTCACAAGTCATAATATCAAAAATTATTTGCCTCGAATATTATCAATTGAATGGTTAATTATCGTATTGATACGAAAATTTCCTTCTTTTAATGCAAATTTCAAATTTACGTCAGTAATTATCAACTTCATATGAAGGCTTGAAACAACTGTATATTTAATAACGTCTCGTATATTTTCAGAAATATTATTAACTTTAACTTTAATTAACTTTAACTTTAAATTCAACTTCAACTTTGATTAACTTTAATCTTGATGCCTAAGTATTATATATGACAGCTTCGAGCACTACTACTTATTATGTAATATTAACTAGTAGTATTTCCACCATGTGATCAACTCTATTATTGATAACTTCTGATGATTATCCCGTAACGTCAAGAAGAAATCCCAGTCAAAACCCCAGTCAAACTCCCTACCAGACACTGTTTTCGATGCAAGTCGTTAAATCACCGAGTGGTTTAACTTATATCAAAAATTTCGAAACATATTTAATGTTTAAATTCTCGTTTTGCTGAACAAGTAAAGAATCGACAAAAGTAGTGGTATTTCACTATTACAGTTTATATACAAGTTAACCTCTGACTTATGCTACAACTCTTATAACTCTTTAAGAGTCGGGTTAGAGTGAAGCTCAACAGTTTCCTTTTCCCGTTATGTTTGCCGAGGCCATTTCCATGGCTATGGTTTTACTAGATAGTAGTAGATAGGGACAGTGGGAATCTCATTAATCCATCCATGCGTTTTAACACATTTCATTCATCATTTTATTTATTGTTTCTCTTTCCTTGTTAATAGAAGAAACATTAAAATTACGATGATAACAAGCAGATATAATGAAGAAGAAATGTTTCGAATCCTTGTTATTACACATATGCATGAAAGATTCTTATGTTATCTAATGTGAATAAGCAAAATTTATTTTTTATATCCCCGAGAATTACCTATTATTCCTTAATTAAACTAAATTGCAAGTCGAAGAAAACTTGTCTTAACTTGTCTTTAATTACCACTAAATATTCATTTCATTTACTTTAATTTTATAATTGTTTCCAATATTTGTTATGAGAGTGTAACTAAAAATGTATAAAAATGAAATTATTATTATAATTGTTTTTAATTTCTCACATCGTTTGATTTCATTTGAATTAATAAATGGTCATTAATTTTTCTTTGTTTTAGCATTATGTATTCTTTATTATGAATGGAAAAGGATATTTTTCACTTTTAAGCGATTTCTATTTCTTTCACGTTGTATTAAGTTAATATAAAAATGATTAGTAAACCAAAAAGTGTCATTATTATTGAAAACAAAAGTTGCTTTTGTAATGGGAAGGATCCATTATAAAAATATATTGCACTATTGATAATAACAAAAATTGTAATTTTAAGAATCGGAATTCGAATTAAATATAAAAATATCACAGAACTCACAAACAAATATATTAATTGGTATTAAAGGAGTTTAAAGAAAGTAAATGGATTTCTTTGTCTTTGGGACGAAAAGGTATAGAAAGGATATTAAAGTTCAGATAATATTCAGATCAGCTTTCTAATTGAGCACTTCTAATTAACTGTGCTTTAATAGGCTTAAATTTCAAACGAGCGAAACTCCACATATTTTCATCTTTATAATCGAAATAAAAAATACCGTTATTTGATGAGGACGTTTCAATACAAAAATGGTTTAATATCATAGGCATATCATACGTTAAATTTATTTGGCGTGTGATTTGGTAATTCGTATGTTGAAGAAGTTTACTCATGTGCTGCAGTTGAAAAACTGCAAACATTTTGTTATTATAAGAAATTATCGGGAAGGTTAAATTGACAACATTATTAGTCTATTTCAGGAAATATCACAGAGATTATCTTGCAAAACACGACTAAACGCGGTGCTAGGCAGTTTTACTAATTCCAACAATTAAAAACTACTATGCTATCTCACCTTTACATATTAATGGTTCTCAGTATTAGAGAAGCAACAACTGAAGTTGCAATCATTGTAAACGACGAAGGATTACAGCAATCAGCTATTAAATATATTATGAAATCATATGCATGTGCGATTGTCGGTACACTACTCGCATTGGTCAGCATTCCCGTCTTTATAATTGTGGTGAATGATAAAGCACTGAGGTTATTCGATTTATCTTATAAAGATATCATGAAAATGAGCACTGAACATAGTACGGGTGAACAGTTTCTTCAGAAAAATCTCCGAGAATAAGACATAAGTATTTTTAAATTACTTCCTCCAATATGAAATATCTTTCAAAGATAATGCACTGATAACATATGAAGATGTTTTTTCAGGAGCTCTTATTTGGTTCTTTCGGTTGTTTTCCTCAACAGCGGATTTTTG